TTAAACAAGAAATACAACAATACCTACAATTCAATGAAAATTCAAGCACAACTTATCACAATTAATGGGATACAATGAAAGCAGTTCTCAGAGGGAAATGCATAGCTGTGAACTCACACATTAGGAAAACAGAACGGGAACAAATAAATACCCTCATGCTGCACCTTAAACAACTAGAAAAGGAAGAGCAAACCAAACCCAGAGCTCAAAGATGGGAAGAAATCATAAACATTAGAGCAGAAATTAATTCAATTGAGATGAAGGAAACAGTTCAAAGAATTAAAAAAACAAAAATCTGGTTCTTTGAAAGATTAAATAAAATTGATAAGCCCTTAGCTAAGTTCATCAAACAGAGGAAAGAAAAAATTCAAATACAAGCAATAAGGAATGAGAAGGGTGTAATTACCACAGACCCAGTGGAAATTCAGAAGATTATCAATAGTTACGTGGAGAATCTTTACTCTCACAGAATAGAAGACACAGAAGAAATGGACAGATTCCTAGAAAGGTACAAATTACCACAACTGAATAGACAAGATATAACCACTCTCAATAGCCCAATAACAGTCAATGAAATACAAGATGTAATTAAAAACCTACCGGCAAAGAAAAGTCCAGGACCAGATGAATTCACGACTGAATTCTACAAGAAATTTACAGAAGATAGAGTCCCTACACTCTTGAGACTCTTCAATGAAATTGGAAAGGAAGCCATCTTCCTAAAATCATTCCTGGAGGCAAGTATTATACTGATATCAAAACCAGGGAAAGATGCAACTAAGAAAGAGAACTACAGGCCAATATCCCTCATGAACATAGATGCCAGAATCCTCAATAAAATCCTAGCAAATAGAATGCAGCAAATCATCAAGAAGATGACACACCATGACCAGGTAGGATTCATCCCAGGGATGCAAGGATGGTTCAATATTCAAAAATCTATAAATGTAATACGCTATATCAATAGAGCGAAAACTAAAAACCACATGATCATCTCCATTGATGCAGAAAAGGCTTTTGAAAAAGTCCAAAACTCATTCATGTTTAAACTCCTACAGAAAAATGGAATAGATGGCCTCTACTTCAATCTGGTAAAAGCCATTTATGAAAACTCAGCAGCTAACATAACTCTAAATGGGGAAAAACTGAGATCTTTTACTCTCAGATCTGGTACAAGACAAGGATGTCCTCCGTCACCACTCCTATTCAATATAGTTCTGGAATAATTAGCTATAGCCACTAGACAACAGAAAGAAATAAAAGGAATAAGATTAGGTAAAGAAGTTGTTAAATTATCATTATTTGCAGATGACATGATACTTTATCTGGAAGGCCCAAAAAACTCCACCAAGAAGCTACTAGAATTAATACAGAAATTCAGTAGCATAGCAGGTTATAAAGTCAATACCCAAAAGTCAATAGCATT